AAAAAAAAAAAAAAAAGTGTAACGTAGCTGTTCTTTGGCATACACTCAACATCCCTCTTAATCTCAGTCTATACTGTGTTTATCAGCACATATACCCAGCACTCTCTGATGTTTACATTATGTTTTCTCAGCATTCGGTGAAAGTGGAACAGAAAAGCAAGTAGGTGGGGCAGTGTTCCCAGCAGTTCAGATTAGTGCCAGATATTGCCTCATTAGCAAGGATGTTAGTTTTCTCTGTTTAAAAATCTCAAACTCTCTGATAAAAAAAAAAATCCAAAATCCTCTGATTAAAACCACAAAAATCTGTGTTTCTCCATGATTAAAATGAAACGCTACTATATGTATGGTATCTGTTGAACATAATATTTTATTGATATATATACAATTTTAAAGCAATTTGGAAGCCTACCAGAATCTTAATCTTTATAATAAAATAAATTCTAAATACCTATATATTTTGCCATTTGATTTTTTTTTTTATTATACAAAATCAGAGGTTCCCCTGCCCCGCTCCACTCACTAAGACGTGGGTCCAGCTGTGGCTGTCCTCACCTGTTTGTGGCACTGAGCAGCCCTGATATGCTAGTACCCTGCCCCTGCCTCTCACTCCCAATTGACAGATCCTCAGCCCTGCCAGACACCCTCACACCCAACCCAGAGCTCCCCACCCTCCCAAACCTGCTGGTGCTCCTCACTCTCAACCTGTAGGCCCCTGCCCCCCACCCCTACCAGGGGTCCCCAGCTGCCAGATCTATGGCAGCTAGCAGATGCTGTGGCTAGAACAGAGTCTCTCCCCGTGGATGGCCTGGCCAGAGCAGAGCTAAGTGGAGCCTGTGGGGGGTGAGGGAGGATGCGGGCTGCTCGCTGCAGTCTTGGGCCTCCCAGCCCTGCTGACCTCCCCCCAGGGGCCTCTGCATCCCTGTGGGCGGGACCGGGCACAGGAGGATGTAGCAAAGCAGAGTGGGGAGGCTCAGTGCCACTGCCACCACCACTGGAACCCCTGCGCCAGCTGTGTCACCAAGGTGAAGCACCCCCTGCTCACCCAGCAGCAGCAGGGCCATAACTTCTCACTGCCGCTCATGGCTGATGCAGGGGTCCCGGCACTGAACCTCCCTGCCCCTCTCTACCCTCCCATGCCAAGCCCCACCACACAAGCCCATGGGGGGAAAAGGGAGCTGGGTGGGGAGACCCGAGCCCACAGTAGCTAGCCCAGATCTGCCCCTGCACCACACACAAATCGGGGAGGAGGGGGGGCATGCTCCCCATCACACACTCCCAGGGAGAAGGGTAAATGGCAGGGAGCCGGCCACCCCCTGACCCTGGAAGAGCTGCCTGTGGCTCCGTCCCACTCCTCCCTCCGGACCCCACATTCCTGCCCCAGCTGGGCAGCACCCCCATCCCCAGCTGCCCACCCTGCCTCAACTCCCTCCCTCACTGTGGTCACCTCAATCACCCCCCATAAACTTACCTGCAAGCAGCTGGGGGAGCTGCTCTCCACCTGGATGTATTGCCTGGGTATACTGCTAGCCACGTGCACATGTGCAGGCATATGTGCATGTGGCAGCCACTGCATCCCACTCCTCCCAGCCCCAAGCAGCCCTTTGCAGGCTGGAATTTGGTGAGCCTGCAAGGGAAAACCTGCAGTTTCCCCATGTTTTTCTCCTTCATAGAAGAAAATCCGTATTTTTCTGCAAACAGAAAAGCTGGATCCCTGCTCATTAAATCAAAATTAATAAAAATACTTTACAGAATTCTTGATGTTTGAGGCCCATCTGCCATACTAAAAATAGGGAGACAAAAAACATTTCATGATGAACCTACACTACATAACTAACGTTTCATCCTTGTGACTTATTGTCTACTCTACGTCCTCTATTCTAGCGAACAGGCACTTGTTTCACAGGGAAGGAATTAGACAAATCTCAGCACACATCATTTTAGGCTCACAGTTAGATTCTAGTTGTTAAGACAGTCAGGGAGAAAATATAATGCATAATATTTTTACTGCAATTCCATTTCAAGTTAGCACCCAACATACCTGTGATTTTATATCGCGATGCAAAATTTTTCTCTCATGTACATGTTTCAGCGCTAAACAGATCTGTACAAACCAATCCATAATCTAAATGTAAAAATAAGAAATTAAAAAGAAATTAAACTTCGACAACTGTGCACGTGCGTGCACGTGCAAGTAGATTTGAGAGAGAGAGAGACCGAGAGACTCTCTCTCCTACATTTTACTAAGCCCAACACTTGGTTTATTAAAATGTGTAACAGCTTTCCTACATACATATAACATAATTGGGGTTCAATTGTTTTAAAAAAAACCTTTTACTTCCATTCTTTAAAGGTCCCACATTTTAGCATAAATACAGCATCCAACCAGCAAATGAAACGTTAATCTTTGTCTTTAAATACAGCACTCATCAGATGTTGTTGAACACACAATTCTAACAGAACATCAAATTAAAATATAAAGAGAGAATATAGAAAATCTTGTGCCACAAAATCCAGCAGTTTTAGAGAAATTCATCTGGACCAGAGGTGTCAAAGATACGGACTGGGAACCACATCTGGCTGGTGGACCCTTAACATCCAGCCTGCGAGTCTCAGGTTGAACCTGCACAGTGCACATGGTGCATGCCAGCCCTGGCCTTGTGTGCTGCACATTAGGTCAGGTCCAATGTTTTTGCTGCACACAGCACCTGCGCCAGATCAGCCCCATGTACTTGGTCTGGTGTGCAGGGCTAGCCTGTGGGTCCGATCTGGTCTGTAAGTAGTGCCATGCCACTCATTCAGCTTGTGCAGCCTACTGAATTTGATACCCTGATCTGCACCATTTCCTTTAATCTAGATCAATTAACATACTTAATCTATGTTTCAAATGGCATGTTTAGCATTTCACAGATAATAGATCAGACTTTCAACCTATAAATAACCATATTCATGAGGTCAGTCTGAAATTACATAATATTTTCTACTACTTAAAAAATGAAAAATAGATAGTATGTAATTATAGCCCCAAGCTACTATTACCTGATCTTCAGAGAACAAGATACCCTTCTGAGCGTTAATTTTTTTAAACAGGTCCCCACCTTCACAGTAATCCATCACTATGTAGAGACAGCCATTTTCTGTCAGTAGAAGCAGGAAGCATTTCAGTATTCCATAACAAACAACACATTTAAAGCTTTTAAATGATAAATGCAAAATATATTTCTTCATTTGCAAAGCTGGCTGCAAGTTACTATTATTTGTTTTTCCCAATTCTCAGGCAAAATACTTACATTCATGGTACCATTTTACTGTTTCCATTTTTGATGCTAACAATTCTTTCCTTCAAACTTCATAAGTAGGACCCCAGCACAAGGCTAGAGACCTCTATGTGAGAAGAGGTACTATCTTTTGAATAGAACATAAAGCTAGTCTACCTGGAGGAGATAATCAAAATCTCAGACTGCCTCCTAAAAGCAAAAAATATTAAACTTCGCCAAATTCTAATTTAGGTGCCCACATCTGACCACATTTATTCCTCTTGCAATTTTGAACGAATATGGTATTCCTACTCCTAGATATGCCAAATTAGGGTTTGTGGGACATCCTAAAAAGGTATCAGATATCGACTTAAATGACATTCAGGTTCCCTACTGCTTTTGAACACTATTCCACAAGACATTTAACTAAAGCACCTCATCTGCTTGCTCCTATGATGTGCAAATTTTGAAGCACTAACTCTACCAGCCTTTCCCAACTAGTCATGGCTCATAGCTTCCAGGATGCCAGCCTAAGGTATTTAATATCTAGACAGAGAACATCGGGCCACCAGTAAGTGAATCTCTCTTAAAAAGGTGCAGCAAATCATATTTTCCACAAGGCTCTCTGGGTTTGAAAGTTACTTCCCCGTTCACCAAACCACTTCATATATGCAAATGTCATCTATATTTTTCAGACATTTGGTGTCATTCTAGGGGGAAGCATGCTTGCCTGAGGTGACTGATTTCTTTTAGATCGCGGGAGGTCTGGTTGGACTACTCGTATCTGAATTCACCTTGTGTATAATTACACCAAGTACTTACAGCTGTGGACAGACATATACTGTATATGGAGAAAAAATTGTGATGGGACCTTCCCTCCAGGAACAAACACACAGGGATCTATTGCTTGCATTATAGCACAGACAAAATTAAAAAGAAAAGAAAACGTACAAAAAGGTGTGTTTTATTCCCCAGTCGAGTGAGTTATAAGAAGCCAGTAGGAATTGAGGTAGACAATAAAAGATAAAGAAAAGACATTTAATCATGCATAACAAAAACATCAAGAATATTGCCTGTATTTTCCCTGCCATGTTAGATACTTTATAGTACACTATTAGTTACCAATCCTACCTTCAAATGACTCTCTGTACAGGACAATATTTGGATGTTTCATGTTGGCTAACACAGCAACTTCCCTCCTTGACTCTTCTCTCTCTTTATTAGACATCTAAAAACAAAAAAACCCAACACATTGTTTTGAAAGTAGGACTACAAGATGAATACATTAATAATTAATAAGATGGCTCACCTTAGATATGCTTATCTCCTTAATAACATACTGCTTCCCATTTTCTTTAGATTTGACTAAAACTGCTTTTCCGAAGGATCCTTCACCAATCTTTTGCACCTTAATATATTTCTCCATGGCTCTTTTTCTAAGGCATCCTTACATGAGTGCTAGGCAAAAAAAGTACTCAGTTAACCAAATAAGTTTATTTTATTTATTTCTTTAATACCTCTCAGATCACATTACGCTTTTCACTTCAGTTTCCAATTCATTTTCTCATCACTTCCATCAAGGAGCTCACTGTTTTTCTGTAAATCAGTTAATTCATACCTCAGTTCCCCTTATAATACATACTGATGAGAAGGTCCAGAAAGAGAGCTATATTGCTACTCACAGTTCAATTTGTTACCGTAATGGAATGTAGGTAATCAGAAAATGCCAGAAAATAAGTACATTTAGTCTTCAGGTACAGTCAATGGCACTAGCTTTTGTTTCAGCTAACATGAATATCACTGATAGCTACAGCAGTTAGTTACTTTTACCTCCCTCTCCACATTTTCTGAGAAAACTACTTCAGAACTGCCCTCCTCCTCCACGTACACACCAGAGATGTGGGACGGAAAATTTTCCAATGCTTTATTTTTCCGTGGGAAATTTTCCATTTCTAAAAATTCATTGTTTCATAAAATTAATTTGTAACAATGTATGGATGTCAATACAATTGGAGGCAAGCTTGGCAGTTTCAAAGTTGTAATTAATGTTTTTCAGGTGACTATCCGTAGGAAGTGAGTGAGAGAGTACGTATAAGTTTTATAGATTTGTGAACTGGAGGCTAAATACACTCACATAATAATCCAAACCAAAAATTAAGTTATAAATTGACCTAATTGGCCGTGCAGGTCAAATCAAAACCAAATGAACACATCGCTAAGGTTGTTTCTATTTCTCAAAATCTCTTGCTTCTTGAGAATCAGTCAGAAGCACAATTAGTGAAGAAGATACAGTGTTATAAGTTGCCCTTGCCCATAGACTCATTGGTAAAACCATCCTTTAGCAAAAGAGAACGTGGTTCAAGTAGTTCTGAATCAGAGTTCCCTCACTCCGATTCTGAAACAGAACTAACAAGTAGTGCAAGTGATTCTACAGATAGTGACCGTGAAACTGGAGGTGCCCCAACGAACTCAGTGGAAGAGAGTTAAACTCAGTTGAAGTAGATGAGTAGACAACTAGGGCATATCATACACAGTTTTTTGGGTGTGCTAAAATGTGTGTCATCAGTTTTCATTGTTTAAATTTAAGGGGAAAAAAAGGCAAACAATGTAAGGGAAGTACATGCTATTGTGTTTACATTTTTACAAGTATGCCAATAAAATAATTTATTTCCACATAAAGCTTTGCATTTGTTTGAATATAACATTTAAGCCACATTAAGTGTGCTGTATTTAATTTTCTTCCTAATCAAATATTTCAATTCAAATGCTTGTGGGTGTTGGGACATAAAATTCACATGGGGGTACTTTTTTAGTTTTGTTTACTAAATATAAGTCAAATAAACATATTAAATCAGATCACAATCTATTTAGGGAAGTGGAAAATTTTCAATTCAAAATTTCCCAGAAAACCCACGTCTGGCACACACACAACATATCTATTAAGTGCTATCAAAATGTCTGTGCTAGAACTTAGCTGACTTTTAGCTTTATAATAGTGGTTAAGTTCCAAGCTCAGAGACCATCTCATTTCTTTTAAAACGTTCCAGAGACACACTTCTTTCACTAAGATTTTTACTCACCTGTTCACTATAAAAAAAACAACATATGACATCACTTTTTGAACCTGTACCTTCTTGTGCGAAACTCACCTAATAGGTCTATGGCTGACTGAATCAGGAATCTCCTTTGAAACGCGCATTATCAAAACTCAGGCAAAAATGATGTACAAGAATCTATATTAAAATTATGTTTTTGTGAAGAGTGAAGCACTCAGAAGACTGAAAATAGAAGAGAAAATTCTGAGCTCTGCCCCCTGCAGAGATTTTAACACTGTCTTTCCTATAAAACATCTAACTTGCCCACTGTGCAAGTGGCTGGCATTCAATGAATCAGGTAGCAGCTCAGTATTTATTTCTTCATTGTTCACAAGGTAGGCCCTTCTATAGTCAGCTCATACCTACCTTTCACTACACCAAGGTCCCAACTATGCTTTCATTATCACCAGCATAAAAATTAGGTGACATTTTAAGCACAAATTAAATTTGGGCAAGAGACATGTCTGTCTCACAGTCTGACCCTGAAAATATGAAAGAATAAATAAAAGTTGTATCTAGCTCTCACTCTAGCATATATGCATTGATAAGTTTAGCAACTTCTTAGTTTACTTTAACATTTGGGCAAAGCTCTTGCTCCACTGAAGTCAAATATATGTTTCTTTTTACTTCCCTGGGACAAGAACTTAATCCAATGTTTCCAAAAAGTAGAGAAGAGCATGCAGCTATTTATGGATGCAATAGCCAATAGATTTATTTACCCAACAGTTTCCAAATGATCAAAAATTATATTATTTTAGATTTAGTTTTGGCAAATAGTAAGGACATCATGAGTTGATTCAGTTTGAATTCAGCTTTACAGTTAAACTTCTGCTTAACCCAGGTTCTCAATTTCAAGAGCTAGAGAAGTCAGCTAGCTATCAGCAAAGTAATTATGTCAAAATGGAATGTGAAAGAGACCTGGAACCTCCTTAAATCAAAGGTAACAGGAACTATAAGGAAACAACTTTCAAGGGTTAAAAAAGAAAACAAAACAAAACTGTGAGCCAGTAACCCGCTCTAGTCATAATATGGCTCAAAACATAAACAAATATTTGTGTTAAAAAAACAATGATATGCACTTGGACAGATAGGGGAAGGGGAGCAAAGCCAGGTCAGGTAACAGGAACAAGGGTAAAGAAAGTGAAATTACTAAAACTAAGGTGAAAGGAAAACAATACAGTATTTACTGGAATATATGATAACCCTGAATATAAGATGACCTCCCAGTAATTAGATTCTATATATGGAAAATGTAAAGAATCGTTATAATTTTCCAGGTACAGAATCTACTTCTTGGAGGTATGCTTTAAATTTGACCCCTTCTATTACTATTGCAGGAAAACTAAATCTGGGAGGCTCAGGTGGCCCCCTTACCCTCCGTCCTTCCCCAAACTTCTACCCCTTGCAAACCCTCCTCCCCACTATCAGACCCTGCTCTCCCCAAGCACATGGAAATGAGCACATTTGAAAACACTAATGGATGAGCTGACACATTTTATCTTTTTTTTCTTTAAATTGATGCAAGTTTTAGCACAAGTACTCCACAAACATACCTTTAAGCAACATTTTTGTACCTCCTTACATAGAGTATAGGAACTACCCTTGATCTGAGCTGACGAGAGGCTGAGATGATGCTTGATCTGAGCCAAAAGCATGATGTTAATTCAAAGCCAAAAGACTGCTGATTACCATTATAGTTCACTGAGCTGGGCTTCAGCGGAGTCAACAGCATTTCAAGCCATGACAACCCCATAGCTCAGCACTGTCCAGTATGTGTGTACACTCCAGATACTCTTCCCCACAAAGGAGTCGTGTGCTAATTACCCCCATTTATCCCTAGAACTGGGTGTTCATGTCATGAATCCTGGGATCCTCCAAAAGTTCATATAAAGATGGAATGCAGGCCAACCTGGTCCAGCTCCCCCTTATGGAGGGTGGGGCCACACTAATATGTGATAGGCTGAGAGACAGAGCATCAGAGGGATTCTGGGTGAAGTTTGGGACCCTGTTTAATGATGTTTGTCAGATAGTTAAGGCTGGTGAAGAAACAGGAATCATTGCAAATGGGAAAGAAAGGTACAGCTCTGCCGTCTGAGTGAAGAGAAAATAAAAATATATGCAATGTGGTGGCTCACCATGACTTGAAAAAGAGCTGGTGCTGAAGAGGATCGAGTGCAATGGGCATTACAATACATCTTATTCAAAGGGGGTTGCACTAACCTATTTTTGTGGTAGGTTCCTACAAGAACCTACTGCATCTCAGCCTTTTCAGCTAAGAAAAAACATAGTGCCCCCACCCCCACAACTGTATCCCACATGCTGTTATTTGTAACTGTATGCATATCCCAACCAATCTTCCTTTTACAATGTAGTATTATTGTACGGGGGTCTCCTGTATACTCTCTGCTTTGTAAATGTAATGTTCCCACCCTCCCATTCCCCCTCTCTACTCCTGGACTTAGTTGGCTGCATGTTTCATATGTAGGGACCTACTGAATTTGTGGTGAAAGTGGGGTGCGTGGTGGCTCCTTTAATCTTGCAGGTTCCCCCCACCCCATGCCCCTCATCCCACTGACTGGCAGAGAGGCCCTACTGCTCACTGCTTCCCGCTCACTCCTGATTGGTGGGAAAGCAAAAACCAGGATTTAAAGTATGGCCAGGCAGCAGCAAGCAGAGGGTTGCCAGGGCCCCTTGGCCAATCAGCAGCAGGAAGCAAAAATGGCACCATATATAAAACCATGGTTTTCACTTTTCTGATCACGAATGAGCAGAGAGTAGGGAGCGGCAAGCAGCAAAGCCTCTTCACCAATCAGCCGCGGGGAGGCACGTGGGGGAACCTGAAAGAAGGAGCCAGTGTGTACCTCACTCGCACCACAAATTCAGTAGCTCCCTATTCATATGCAGCTTAGTTGTATTCCCACCCCTACCACCATCCTTTACTAAGTAGATCCCACTCGGGCCTTTCTGTATTTTTGTGCTTTGAACTTTGCCATTTGAAATTTAACATTTTCTAATAAAATTGAATTTTTGGTACCAAGGGATAGTGTCAGGGCTGCTTCTGGCCCTCCCAATGCTGACCTGGTATTGTAGTACATCCAGGTCCAGTGCCAGTTTCCTGAGGAGGGAACACCCCCCTGTTTTTTCCACACATGCACACAAAAAGGTTCCCATCAGCACCTCAGACTTTTGGCTAAGATTAAGCATGTTTGGCACAACCACCTTGGTGGTCAGGATTAGCTCTGGCCCTCTCAGTGCTAGCTTTGTACTGCAGTACCTCCAGTTCTCTCATGGGGGAGCAACTATGCTTTTTTCTTTTTAAATGGCCACACAAAAAAAAGGTCCCATCATTATGTTTGCTCAACATGGGCCACTTGTTTTAGTCATGCTCGGTATTGGCTGTATTTTAAATGAACTTCATAGTTGATTTCAATTACTGAGCACATGCTGCTTTTGGCAGCAGTTCAATGAAAGAGAAAGTATTTAATGAGGTTTCCTTGCATGCGACTGTAAAAAGTGGAGCTTTTTCCCTATGTTGATTGGGGGAAATAAACCTCATTTTGTATTCAAGCAAGTGTGGTAGTAGCCATCCCAGAATTCTGAAAGAACATGAAATCCCTAAAAGCACAGGTCCTGTAGCAACAGATTTTAGTTGAATAATATACTGGGTTAGGTATGGCATCATGATTTAATACCTATTTTTAAGAAGGGAGAAAAGGAACCCCCAGGGTCATTAGTTTCATCTCAATAACATACAAATCTTTAAAACAAAATTTAACAGGAAGAATAATCAAAGGCATGGAAGTAAACAGAAAACTGGATACTATATAATAGGAACTTACCCAAGATAGACCATGCCAGACTAACCCAGCATCTTTGAAAGGATAAGTGGGTTTTCTGAACAAAGTATGTGTAGTAGATCTTATTTATTCTAATTTCAATAAAGCTTTTCATATAGTACCACAGGGGAGATTATTAGCAAAAACAGAAAAAATGGGTACAAAGACTGAAAGGCTTTCTTCCTAGATGATAAGAAAACAAGCAGGCTTGAAAGGGAAACTGTCTGACTGGAGGGAAGTTACTAGTGGAGTTCCTCAAGAATCAGGTCTGGGAATAATCTTGCATAATATTTTCATTAATGGACTGGAATATGAAATCTGCCAGCAAGAAAAAGCTGATAGGCATCATCAATAGATATCAGAATCAAAATATCACACGGGAAAGTCCTGAGGATCATGCAGGGACTAATGTAATACAAATTAAATTGAACAGTACAAAGTGCAATGTCACACAGTTTGAATTAACAAGGGTAAGTTGGAGACTCATCAGCAAGAAATGAATGAGAAGAATGAACCTGAACATATAAATGTATAACAGAATGACTCTGTAGCCAGGTACAGACATTATACTTTTACTGGTATAAGCGATCAGAATCTGGTCTAAACCCATAACAAGTTCAGCACCCACAGGGTGGTTTAAAAAGGGTGGAGCCCAATCTAAGATAGGCAGCCTGCATGCCCCCTCCACCCTCCACAAGGGTGAATGTTCCGTTTGCTACTGATCTAAACTATGATGCTTATAGAAAACCACTTAACTTGGATCAATTCTGCCTCAGGCTTTTTAAATGTCTGTACCCAGCCTAAGATTCAGATGCAATGTCAGCATGTACTGGGCAAGGTACTCCAGTAGACATAGTCAAGTACTAATATTTTGTTATAACTAAACATGGTTGAGACCTACTTTTGAATACTGTGTACAATTCTGGTCACCCTCATTAAAGAAAAATGAACTGACTGCATCTTATAGGAGGGGACTAAAAGAGCTTGTTTGCTTAGCTTAGCCAAATAAAGGCTAAGAGGGGATACAATTACTCTATATAAACAGATCAGAGGAAGATAAAATACTGAGTTGTCCCAAGAACAAAAGTATATAAACTAGCCATGAATAAATTTTGGTCAGAAGTTAGCAGGTTGGTTCTTAACATCAGAATAATCAAGCTCTGGAACAGCCTTCCAATTGGAGTAATGACACCAAACCCCTCTCCCCCCACCATGCTAGATAAAATTCAATTTACGAAATGGCTGTGAAATAGGAAGGAGAAAAGGGAAGATGTATTTTGAATCAATAACTCATTAAGTTACTTCCAGTTCTAGGCATCTGTTCTGATTACACACAAATCTGTACTTTAACAATGACATCCTAGTTCTTTAACAAAGTTACCTAAATTTTTATATTAATGATACTTTATACAAAGAGCTAACCCCCCCCCACAACAAACAGTGCACTAATAGCCATTTTAAGCAAAGCAGTACTCAACACTTATCACTAGCAATCAAAGTGGTTGCTATATCAAGTATGATTAGCCTAATTCTTAAAGATGAAACAGCAATATACCAGATAACTTATCCAAGGAAGGTTAAGAAGAGAACTCAGGTGAAGTCACCTGAAGTCAAGTTTTATGTCCAGT